TTTGAAGTTTCAAGTCTATAGCTCATCGGGAGGTGAAATATTGATTGCAATATTCCAGGACCTATCCTATAGTGAAGTTAAATAAAAGCTTCTAAAAAATATACAACATGAAATTAAGAACAAAAAATTTCCAAAACTACTTTATTAATTTAATAATTTTTTCTTTACTGTTAAATCGTTTTTCGTTCCAAATTTTCGCATTATCGCACGAGATTTAGTATTGGAACACATAAACCCATTTCCAGCCTTTTCACCAATCACCAGTCATTGATGCTTCAGTGACAATGGTTACACAGCGTTCATCTGCTTGTTTATGACAAGGATAATCCGGGATTTCCATCGTGGCTCGGGTATTTGATCCAAAACTGAACTCGCATAGTATTGGAGGCGACGTCATTTGTCACTTATTCCATTTTATCATAACAGTCTAATCATTTACCCCGAAGCTTAGCCTGCACACTTTAAATAGACTCACACACAATATTTGATTTTTTCGTTTCGAAGTAATTGCCAATTTTGCTCAAGGTGTTTGACAATTTATCTAAAGAAATTACAAAATCTTCATATGTAATGCGCATTTTAGTATATGGTTGCCTATCGGCTATCAGTCGTCATACATAATGGGGCGCATGAGCAATTGTTCCTGGACTTATGTTACTTAAAGTAAACTACATATATCCGCTACAATGAAACGGTTATGTTGCACGGTATAGCAGTAAATTGAGTCACGGAGAGTTGAAGGCAGGTTTCCCAGTGCTTTTTCTATAGGCTCGGAATAAACTGTTCCAAAGGTAATTCGTTCGCTGGCAGCTAATAAATGAACCATTGGAATGATCTCCCTTACTTCAGTTACATAAGCCGGATTATTTACTACACTTTTGTAGCGAGTATTTGTAGCATCCTTTGTTTAATTCGGTTGATTTTTCGTGAAAAACGAATACATATATTTTCTTTTACCAGAGAAAATGGTTAGATAGCTTAATGAGAGTCGAGTTGATACCGTAATTAAAAAGTGTTTCTTTCGTGGCTAGCTTATTCGTACAAACGTTGACCCCACTTTACCAAAAAAAGTGCCATATTACACTTCAATCAAAATAAACACAAGTAATTTCAAAAAGATGGTGATGATTCTGACTTAGTTACGAACTTGTTATCCAGCTCTATGAACCCTTCTCCGATTTTTTGAAGAAATTAATCCTATTCGGTAATTGATAATTCAATTTTTTTTCCCCCAAATATTTTTTTCAAGCCTTTTCGTATCTTCTCAGTTTTGAGAACTAATCGTCATTTTTATACCTTTCATGAGCATGAAATAGTATTATAACTTTGGTCCGATGTTTGTAAGTACCAGAATAAGAAGAGATAGACCCATTAAAATGTATACTTAAATGATCAGAACGTCGAGCTGAGTCGATTTAGCCATGTCTGTCTGTCTGTCTGTCTGTCTGTCTGTATGTCCGTCTGTGCAATCTAGTCTCTCAGTTTTTCAGATATCCGGATGAAATTTGGTAGGTGGGTGTATTTTTATAATGTATTTATCATTTGTTGGAACCGGAAGAATCGGACCACTATAACATATACATAGCTCCCATACAACTGATTGTTCAGATATAAGATTTTTCGTTATAACTCTTCCATTTAAGTAGCTAGGAACATGAAATTTGGCACTGTTGTCACTCATTATAAAAAGAATACTTTCAGTGATAATAGCGAAGATGGGGTCCGATTGTTCAGATATGAAATTTTTTGCGATAACTGCTCCATTTATGCAGCTAGGAACATGAAAATTCTCGCCGTTTTCACTCAGTGTTAACAGAATACTTATAGTGAAAATTACAAAGATCGGGTCACTATAACATATATCTCCCATACAATTTAATGTTCAGTTATGAGAATTTTCGCTATAACTCCTCCATTTATACAGCTAGAAACATGGAATTTCGCAATATTTTCACTAATTATCAACTGAAAGTTTACAGTAAAACTAACAAAGGTCGGGTCTCTGTAACCTATTTATATCCTCCATACAACTGATTGTTCAGATATGGGGTTTTACTGTAAAACTCCTTTGTTTGGACTGCTAAAACACATAAATTTCGTAAGCTATTCTATAAATAATAATCCAAAGTCGACTGCGAAAATCGTCAAAATCTGTGCTGTATAAGCTTTATCTCTTATACCACTGATTGTTCCTATACCAGTTTTTGCGATATATCTTCTTTATATAGCAAGCTAAACCCATTAAGTTGCGTTACCGGTTTACATACCAATCACACAGCAGTGAAAATCACTTGGATTGGTGCTATATAAGGTATATCTGTCATACCTCTGATTGTTTAGATGTGGTTTTTCATATGTGTATCTCCTCTATCTATGTATTCTGTTAATATATAATTTTTTTCAAATGCAGTAATCTATTAAAGTAAAATTTTCAGATGCTCATGAAAGGTATGATGCCTTCGGCATAGCCTAAGACAGCGGTGCTCTAACTTGTTTTTATATGTTTTAGTTTGAGCCCGGCTTCCGACCAACGTCAAATAAAACAAAAAACAAGTGTTTTCCTAATAACGGTCGCCCTCGTCAGGCTGTGGCATACCACCTAGTGTATTCTGTCATGAAAAACAGGTTCTCATAAAAATACAATTGCCGTTCGGAGTCAGCGAAAAGGTCCCTGTCCTTTGTGTGACAACATCAAAACGCAAGCAACCTCCGAAGCTCGTCCAAACACTAACATATTATGCAAGCGCCAATCTATTATTATTATTAAGTGGCATTAACAAAATCAATGCACAAATATCAAACAGTTCTTTAACATTCTCTAACGTCACTTTAGCCACATCAACGAAAGCCTTCTTTTGAAATATAATTTTTAACCGACTTCCAAAAAAGGAGGAGGTTATCAGTTCATCGGAATATTTTTTTTATGTATGTTACCGCATAACTTTGGACCACGTTAACCGAATTCTATAATTTTTAAATGAAAGTTACCTCACAGGGTGTCCCGTACTAATTTGGAAATTACAGTTAATCTTAAATTTGTATATGAGAATTGAAGTTTAAGTTGGTTATTAATGGTGACAAAACAATACACGTACCGTAAGACCAATAAAAGTGGGGGATTCTAACACGAACATTAATACCAAAACGAAGTATGTACCTTTGAATAACAATAGACTCAAAATTAACTTGAAAGGACCATAAAATAAAACACAACGAAATAAAAACCCACTTTAAACAACTGTACTGGCTACTGGAACGGCAATCTAAACCAACAGTACACAATAATGTACTGATCTACAAGGCAATAACTTCGGCTTTTAAAACCCATCTGCAAACGATAAAAGCTCAATTGAGAATTCTTAGGAAAATAGCAAATGCGATTTACTACATATCTAACAGTGATTACATCGAGAACTAAATATTGACGTGGTTGACGAAGCAATAAAGACATAAAGGGAATTACTTCTAAACGGACTACTGAGCCGCACAAACCCAACAATGAACCAACAACCTTTCAAGGAGAAATACAATCTTAGGCGACTAAAGCGAAAAAAAACATGCATCTTAGCCGTTTTATGATCAAAAGAAGTCATTGTATATATGCGTGAAAAAGTAGTTTTATATACATGCATACATATTATTATTGTATTTATAAAATATATATATTAATTGCTTTACAGTGATCTGCAATTTTAAAGAATATCTTCTATTGATGTTTCACTAATAGATAGTTGTAATTTTTTATATGTAAGCAGTAAAAAATTTTTAAGGCTCAATGCAATGTTCTACATCCTATCGCTCCGTACTGAAAACTCTAAAACAAAATTTTACGCTTCACCCTAATTTGCGTCCACACGTATGTATGTAAGTAGATACATATTTATTGTTGATGTAAAACTGTAAATTACATGCATTCAAAATTACCTTTCAAAGTAACGACGACGGAGTCTGTCAATAATGTTAATCCCGTAATCCCGGGACTCCTTTTCTTGACAAGTGTTGGCTATATTTCCGTTTTTTATTTAATAATTAATATTTTTTATAAATGTCTAGCTCGTTATGCACATAATACCGTGCGATAGTAAAATTTACTCACAAAAATCTATATATGTATTCGCGAAACCATGAGCCAAATAGAGTAAAATTGCGTTTTTAGTTTCTCAGTCTGACGTCAGTAATTAAAAAAAAAAAAACATTTAAAAAAGTCAGTGAAATGTGCTTAGAGAAATTAAAGAGAAAATTCTGTATAATTTAAACAGATTCAATTTTTGGAGCATAAGGACGTGTATGCATTGAGAATGTCCTTTTAACATTTTATGGGTTTCAAACCCATTTATTTATTACACTGTGCAACAGCATTTTTAGGGGCGCAATAATTCCAAAACGACATTATTTTCAGTGTTTTCAGTGAGGGATATAACGGGTTAAAATGTTCTACAAAATTATTCCTCGTAAAATTTTAGTATGTGGCCCGAAAAAACATATTTCTCTCCGATATGTATTTTAACTCTTTTTTTAATTTATTCTACATAAAGGCGCTTAGGCAAAATAATGCAAATTTTGCCATAGCAAAGAAATTTGACCAAAGAATGTAAAACGAATTTGAGGTTTTACTATATGGATCATGGTCTTTCATCCAGAGTTGGAATCATTCCGCCCCCCAGACAATGACCCTCAAATTGTTGCGCAGTGTTATTTATTTTATGGTAGGAGAGATAGAAAATTTTGTTTCGATTTACGTTGTTAAAAAGTAATGAATATCTAAATTCCGGGACCCCGATATTGTGATAATGACATACCGAAAATCCCGAGATCGTAAAATGCGAAAAAACTAACATTCCTAATGTATACATACATTTATTTTTTTATACTACGGATACCTTTTAAGAAACTTCTTCTCCGTCCCTTTTTATTGTTTATTGTTTATTGTTTCTTTCTTGTTTCTCTCTCTTCTCTATTATTGACGTATTCATGCTGGTCTTTTTCTGCCTCTTTTCCAGGACGCATGCAGCAAATGCGGCCTTGATATCACAAACGCACATGGGTCGGAAAGTGCCACCCCCTCTGCTACGCTCTCGCACTTTGCCAGCTATTATTATGCCCGGCATTCCGGTTGTCTCGGTTAATACGGACCAGCAATTTGGTAAGTATCGGAACATGTTATTAAAAGTATTTAACTAAATGATGTTGCGTGGATGTATATATGTACATACATACATACATATGTATATATGTATTGTATGTATGTCTATTTAAGCTTGCAAATGTGAACAGATAAGAACTTTCCCTGTCGGGAATTTCATAGTCGACTACTAAAATAGCCTACTTTTGGCTAACTTATTACGGGTAACTTTTAATTGGTTTCAAAGTCTTGCAGGGCTCAACAGAGGGGATAAGTATGTATGTGTTCATGTAAAATTATTTCACCATTTTTTCTTTCGACAAACAAACTTGTGTTCAAAAGCAAAAAAATTTATGTAAAGTATTTATGTACATACCTATATTAATTGTCATTGTGTTTTTATAGAAAGCGAGAAAACATGGATCTACCCTGTGGGGAAAATCTCTTGTTTTGAACTGGTGTGCTTCTAGTATATTTAGAACCACCACTAGTTCGCGATAAATCTCTATTACATGCAAATAACTGGCGAATTTAACACGGCGATGTCATGGGAATTTCATATTTTTCCCAGCTGCATTAACTTTTCTATACTTCAGAACCAGTCCTAAATTCGACATATGGGATCTAGTTTGCTTTGCTTTGTCTATACTGGCGCCCGCATAAAAAAAACATTAGGGCTATTCGCGATTCGGTGTATAAGAGCTGACAAATTTATGCAATTGCAGAAATATGCCATGGATTGTGAGCGACCTTTATTAAACTGTCATGGCAAAGCTTTTGCAATACAATTTTTGTGCATCAGCTTTGGTTTTGTTTATGAATGCAATGCATAGCATTTTTATGCTATGGATTTTCGGTATTGCAAATTTGCCAAGCCATGACAAATGCAAATGCGTGTATTTTGTTTGTGTATTGCAAATAATTTGCAATACAAATTTGCAATGCAATGATGCTAGGCCATTTGCACCGGATCGCGAATAGCCCTATTAAAGAAAAAATTAAATGACTATTTGTAAACCTACTAGGTATAGAGGGTGCTTTGTATCTACTATTACAGTAAAGAGAGTACATTGAAATACAACGGAGAAAAACTCTTGGCAACAAGTGGTACTTTGGACTGAGTAGGCAATTGCGAAGTAAAGTCATCTCTTGTCGTACAAAAATCTCTCTCTATACGTCACTCATATTACCCGTGTTGGCGTACAGTGCAGGAGCATAGACAATCAAAACATCTGATAAGGCGGCTCTTGGAGTTTTCGAGGGAAAGGTTCTGCGGACATTTGCGCATAGGTGATGGCGAATACCAATTTACAATGATATAGAGATAGTGCTGCAGATTAAAATAAAGTAGCTCCGCTCGCTTGATCATATCGTACGAATGGACAGAAATTTTCCAGCTATGAAAGTTTGTGCCACTCTGCCAGAATCGCGAAGGCGGCTACAACGTCAATCAAGAAGAAGAAGATAGTGCGTTTGGGCTTTAGCTCGTAGGCATGTCTTTGCACCGATCTGGGTGCTGATGCATAGCGTTGGGCCCTGAGAACCTATGGTGAAAGACTAGGATTGGAATACAATGATTCTTGTCATACCAGATGCTCTGCAAATGCTCTGCACTGGGTAAGACTAGAATTAAGTTTCTGTCAAATCTTTCTTTTATGATCTAAAAAACATGAGTGATGCACTGCATCTTTTTATGTTCTTAAACTTCAAGGGCCGAATTTAAGAGAAATAAACAACAAAGTATCACTGGTATGATGATAACCACCAACCGCGGCTCTGGAAACACTTGTAGACCTGCCACCTCTGCGCATTGTCATATGTAGAGGGAATTATGCTAACTAAACTCGACTTTTCAAACAAATCGAAATCATCTTCTAAAGTATTTCCAACTAAAATCTTCTTAAATCTCTTTGACATTGTAGTACACATATATTTCAATAAACTTATGAACTAAATTGAATTTGGTTGTTGAAGCACGTGGCAACCCTCTTAAATAAAGGTCAGAATTAAAGAGTTTTAAAACGTATTTCGATTGATACCCATATTTTAATAAATTAACAGGTGGTAACCCTCTTCCAACACCCCAAAAATATTCTTAGCATTCAAACTAAAGGTTTCCTAACACTCTTTCGTTTGACATCCATATTTTGATATTTCTTATAACTTGTGTATAAGTAAACTAAATTCGATATTTCAAGCAGGTGGCAAGCCTCTTCAAAATATTTTTAAACTACTACTTTCTTTAACCCATTTAGTTTGGCGCCAATATGGTGATTTATATTTCTCTTACCTAATTCCCTTAATTCAAATTGATTTTGATTTTTTAAACAGGTAGCAACCCTCCTAGAATTAAGTTAAGAAAGAAGGCTTTTCAACGTCATTTCGATCGATACTCATTTTGTAATAATTGGTTAAATTTTTTAAATAATTTCAACTTAATATTTTGAACGGTGCTTATCTAATGGCATTAATTATTAAAAAATTTACATTTAATTGTTAAACAGGTAGCAACCCATTTCGAAAAAATAAAACCAGTTTGCACACCCAGAAGCCAAGCGCTATAATTTTACACCCCATTTTTGAAAATCTTATGTCCTGAACAAAAAATCCCTTCGCGTACTATATATAGATACTAGGAATGTTAATCAATGGATTCCGAGATCCTATTGGCAAATATTGTAATTTACACTGATGGCAATAATAAAAACTCCTTTTCTTGACCAGTATGGGCTATATTTCTTTTTTATTTAATAAATAATGTCTTAATATATACAAATCCCGTGTCACTGTGTTCGTTTACGCTAGTCTCCGAAACCGCTTAACCGATTTCAATGAAGCTTTTTGGGTGTGTGTTGTTGGTTCCAACTTAGGATAGTTTTGAACCCAAAAAAATAATATTTTTTTTAATCGAAATTTTTTCTATGATTCTCGCGTTCTTAAAAATCCCGTGTCGTTATGTTCGTTTATGCTAACTACAAACTGCCCATATCCGAAGCGGCAATTATCCAATGTTATTCCCGGCTACGCTTCATATGTATGTTTAGGTAGGGGAGAAATAGGTAAGATAGCAACAAAATAATGTACATGTTATGTATTTATGTGTACATATGAACATGCGCACATCAACAGCAACAAGAAATTTACCATTTGGACACCATCCAATGTTATGCATTCCCCTGGCTGATGTTTGAACCGTAACCAGGGATCGTTTTGTGCTCAAACCTAGTGAAAAACAACAGTAATCTTTTGTAAATTTCGATATCAAAGGAAACGTAAGAAACAATATAGGTCTTCACACCGAGCTCGGTATTCGGTAACTCGGTGTCTGGTAATATTTTATAATGTATTTTGTTTGTGTAAAATAGCATAACACAAACAAAATACATAGGAAAAAATTACCGAACACCGAGTTACCGTGTACCACGCTTCGGTGTGAAGACCCAAAATATCTACGATGCATGTAACCTGCCTATGTATCGGTGTGTAGCAGGACACACCCGAGCGCACTTGTGCACAAGGGTATTATAACTTTCTTCACAAAACGTTTGTTTGTAACAGGCAAAACGAATCGAGATAGATGTAGACAAATGTATACGTAAATGATCAGAATGAAAAGAGAAATCGATTAAGCGGTGACTGTCTGTCCGTCCGTCTGTCCGTCTGTCCGTTCGTCTGTGCACACGATAACTCGAGTAAAAATTAAGATATCTTAACGAAACTTGGTACGCGTACTTCTTTCGGGCGTAGGACGGATGGTATTGAAAATGGGCAAAATCGGACAATAACCACGCCTACCCCCCATATAGCGGTAATTTTCAGAAATACGAATACTGCGATGTTTTAATAACTACTAAAGATTATTAACTCAAAATTGATATTTACAATAATTTTTAGACGAAAAATAAGAATATTATAAATTTTTGGAAAATGGGAAATGGAAACTTTGCACAATTGTTGGCCAAATGGCCGATGGTTATTTTTCGGACAATAACCACGCCCACATCCCATATAACGGTATTTTAGAGAAATACGGAATATTCGATAAATCAGTAAATATTAAAGGTAATTTATTAAATATTGATGCTTGCAACAATTCTTTACCAAGAAATATACTTATGATAAAATTTTGGAAAATGGACGTGGCACCGCCCCCTTATGATCACATATATGTATCTCGGTAACCGCTGTACCAATTTGTACCAAACTCGGTATGGTTATTGTGCTTGTCACATAAAAGCGAAAATTCTTGAAACTTCAATATTTCGAAATTTAAAGACGATAATTTACTCAAAATGGGCTTAATATTACGCCATTGTCAGATGCCTTTTGTTTTACTTTACATCGGATTCAGATTGTGTAGCGACTTTTGTTCGTATTTCTTTTCTGACGAGCTACAAACTAACTCTACAGCTTCTAAACTTTTCTACAGACAATACACATATGAAAAAGTTTACCCTTAAAGTTATTGCGAGTAATTAATTGGCTGTCATAAAATTTTCCTAATACTCGGGAAGTGTCTAAACATACCTGCAAGCAGTGGGAGTGATTACGAAACTAGGAAACTGTAACAACTAATATGTACCCACACTTGTCCAGTTTCGCTAGATGCTGATGCAAACAATTTGCTGTAATTCAATTAAAGTCAGACTACTTTCAGCTAACAGGGGAGTCTCGTAGGAACCGGTGTTTTTTTAGATTTTACGATTGCTTTCTGACTTATTTTCTTCTTTTTTTTTGCCAAAATTTGTTTTAATCTTCTTCTTACCCTTCTAATATCGACCTCATAGTTTACATAGGTACGTGTACACTGAAAATAAAACCTGCGTAAATATAACGAAAACTTGCGTAAATCTTACGCATTTTTTCGTCATTTTGAGCCACGAAAGTTTTCGTTGATTGTACAAAACCGTTTTCGCACATACTACGAAAATATGAGGCATCAGATCTTTAGTACATTTTACGAATGTATTCGTTATATTTACTAAAGAATTTTGTACTATTTACTAAATAATTTCGTGCTATTTCTTAGTCTTTTACGAAACAAAAATAATTCGTATATTTAACGAAATTATTTTCGTAAAATCTGCACTTGTTTCGTAGAATGTGCGATTTTGCTTTCATTCTCCACACTGTAAAAAACATATTACGAATTATAACACAACACTTTTGTTTTGTTTTTATCGTTAATTTTAAGCATTTTTGTTTAACAAAACGTTTTGCAAAAATGCTTAACATTAGTGATTAAAAAATAATGAAAGTGTTGTGCTATAATTTTAGTAACGTTTTTATAGTGTTAATAATAAAAGCAATCATACGTTCTACGAAAGAAGAAGAAGAATTTTCTGACTACACTGTAGTTTAGAATTAATAAAAAAGGTTATTTTACCTATAATAAAACATAAGTATTTTATTTATATGCATACGATAAGGTTCTATACTAGATACATATTTTTTATTGCTTAGGCTTCATTCAATAAAGTATATTGATGCAAAGTGTTAAACTATGAGACTCAAAAAAACTAAATATAATTAGATATAAAATATGAAAGAATATAAAATATACTGGTTTTAGTTTCATAAACATTATAATATTTTTATGTAGAGGCACTTGACAGATTCGCAGCTTCATTGATGTTTGTTTCCTTGACGACTACAAATTAAAGGAAAATTATAAGGCGTCTGAAAAGCAAGTTTCAGTGAAAAATCATACATGTACTTACTTTTAATTTCATTAAGTAGTGCTCCTGGCGTAGGCTTGCCGTTGATAGGTAACTGATGAAATTGCCTATTTTTCAAGTCACAAATTGCAGCGCAAGGGGCAGCGTAGGCGATGTTAAAAACATTGTATGCTTAAAAGCATAATATATCCACAACTTTAATATTCGATTGTTTTTTTTTATTTTTTATTGTTTTTTTTATCCAGCAAAACTTTCTTAAAACGTTTAAAATTATATTGTACGTCTCACAGCAGCCAACCAGTAATTTCGCAATGACACGCGATACATACAAATATGATGAAATATTAAACTGCCGGTAATTTAGCATATTGTACGAAAATATTCGTCTGTTGTACGAAGTTAAAAAACATGTTTCTGCATTTGTTCTATGTACGAAAGTATTAAGTAAATTTTACGAATACAGAATTGTAGATTTCGTATATTTTAAAACCACACGTAAATATTACGAATGCCTTCGTACAATATACAAAATTATTCGTACAGAGATTTGTTCAGTAATTTACGAATGTGTTTCGTAAAATAAACGTAAAATTTCGTAAATTGTACTGAAAAAATGCCTTACGAAAGTCCTTTCGTTATATTTAGTTCGTAAAATCTTGTTTCGTTGTGAAAAATGTGTTCGTATTATGAACGAAAGTTTCGTACATTGTACAAAAACCAAGACTACGAAAGTCTTTCGTAGCACTTTTACAAAATTTTATTTTCAGTGTATGGTGCTTTTATATAGAGGGGCACTACATATGTATCATTACATTTATTTGTTGCATCGTTGTGTTGCAACTCACACAATAAATCCAATTATTTCCGTGGTCATAAGCAATAACCACCCAAGTCTACTTAAGAAAGAATTGAGTTATATATGCTATCACATTCTGCAACTACTATTCCATATGTATGTGAAATTCCGCTATTAAAAAAGTTATAAATGAACATATTTTGGTTTCTCCATAAGGTTAACATTACAATCCAAATATTTAAAACGGTTTTTTTTTTTTGAATTCAGGTATTTCGACTTAGGCGGTTATTGCTTATGACCACAGATTTTACCTTATATTTTCTCACAACAAATCCAATTATTTTACCTTATCGTTTATAACAACAAATTTGCAACTTATTCTCACAAACTGTCTTAACAAATTTAATTTTACACTACCTCCGCTTCACTTTTCTAGACGAGCGCAGTAGTGGCCTCTTGGGCACCAAGTCTGGCAGCGGCACCAGTACCGGCGGTGGTGGCACCAATCGTTGGTCTCTACTCACCCGCCAAACACCCACCACACCTGGCTACACCACCACCAACAATAACAATAATGTGGTGAATGTAAAATCATTGAATTTACCAAAAGACGACATGGGCGTATACCGTCGCAAATCTTCCGGTAGCACTACCACCCATACAAGCACTAGCATCAGCAATAGCGGCACACCCATTGTTGGTTCTCAAGTAGCCGACGCGGCCCTGTTGATGCCCACATGCGAGGATTTCGAATGCCAAGCAGCGGATGGATCAGTTTTACTCAGGTAAGCAAGATTTCTTGCAACTAATTAAATTTTCAAGTGTGGTAATAAACAAGGGCATACCTTAAACTGTAAGCTGTTATGTTTTATTCTAAAACCTTCAAATTTGAAAATATTTACAGGATACCTGCACCGCACGTTGTGGCCGCGCGCGCCTACCGCTTGGCGTCAAAGAAACGCAGTACTGGTAACACCACCCACGATAGCCAACAAAAACAACATCACCCGCAGAGCAGCAGCAATACATCGAGCGCTATGGTTACGACCGCAACTGCCAGCGGTGCTGAAGCACAGCATCCCTCAACACCTGATGGCGGCGATACAGGTGGCACCACAACCAATACAGCATTGACACGACGTCTGGCCAAATTGCTTCATCAGTCGAGTATGTCTGCCTCGAGGCTAACAGCAGCCGCTTCCCCGCATGGTGATAGCGCCGCTACAGCCACCAACACAAACAATTTGCTGCCAATTATGCCAGCAGCTGCGTCTAGAGACGGTGGTAGCTCGGACGGCGGTGGTAGCTGTTTGGATGAGGCACCACGTCGACTTTCGTGGGAGAGGTGAGTGATAATATTTATCGCAAGCGCCGTTGAGATACCCACATAAGTGCTAGAGGAATGCGACAAGATTTGCACTGGGTACATACTTGTATTAGCAATAAAAATATTTTTTTAATATGTAAACTTTTTGAATCAAAACGTAATACAAAAGCGAATTTATAAAAGGTGGTAGCAGTAGTACAAAAAAAAAAATACACTAACAAATTATACGCACAATGACAATAAGAACACAACAAATATGCACCAAACACATAATTTTGACAACCAGTACAACCTTTTATGAATTCGCCTTGCGTAATACGTAAAATGCTATATTTTTCCTTTTGCTTTTTTGACACGCCGGCGTGGCTTAAGCGTCTTTATATTCATCATTCTTAGCATTTTAATATATGCAAATGTACATACATATGTCTCAATAATATCGATCCCTTTGACCTGTTAAAAACAACAAAGTTATAATATCCTTGTATACAAGTGCGCTGTATAGATATGTACATAAATATTTCTACCAAATAACCACATTTTGAGTTCAATTCTCCACATTCCAGCAATTTAATTGAACTTTCCACATAATCAAAAGGGTATACATATGTATTTAATACTCACAGAATTTTTTATGAGATAACAGTAATTATGTTAGATATAGTTAGGTTGAAATGCCTACACTTAGGGAAAGGGCAGCAGGCCCATTGTGATGCCATATACAATCATCCCCGTTATATTGCGACGCTTACTTGGGATCAAACCATTTCCTTCGCTAATGCTCTTATGATGATTTCCGCTATCTCTGCAATGTCTTGTAGAGAAGGCTTTACGTTTAGAGGGTGTAAGAGCCGGTACTTTATACCGCCTAGTAAAAAGGACTACCTAAGTTTAACCGCTGTCCTGCGATTAGTTGTGATAAAGGTTGGTTCACTTCCCTTATTGAAAATGGACCAATTCAATCTTAGCAAAAAATAATAGATTGACTCGCCTTATTCAATCGCATTCACGTCCTCTTCCAGCATTAATATAGTGTCCAGTGGCTTCACCAGCCTATACTCCTTGCACCCTATTTGCAGGCTGACTGTAGTGATGTCTCCAGTACTAAATTGCGGTGGGATACAAGAGTTTGTATTAGTTTTGATTAAAATGTAGGCGCGGGGTTTCCCTTTACCATGAGCACTAAATAATTCCTACTTCAGGGTACCCAAACAACAGATCCTATTACCAGTTATCCATGGCTCTTGGACCAAAGCGTTGTGTATTTCACCTGGGGACAGTTGAAACAGGAGAGCAACAGATGCTGTTTTACTGTGATGATATGTGTGACCCCCATCACGTGAATCTCGTGAGAAACTCAATCTCGTTGTATGACCTCCTCATGGACTTGCCTGCCGCAGAGTTGGATAAGGCGTACCCGCTCAAGTTCTCGATCGCTTGACATTCGTTTCCCTCCATCTCTTAGTCCTTGTTGGCTTTGGTGGTTTCCTGGGGCATCGGTGTCAGTTTCGTAAACTTGAAGGGTAATCTTCCCGAAGCCGTAGTTCACCTTGTAATCGGTCTTTGCTAGCGCCTCCAGGATTTCGTCGTTCAAGGGCAGCACTGCTTGCATTGTTGGCGTCGTTGGCTCTGTGTTCACAACTATCCAATTGTGCGTACCTCTAAACTATTAGGCGGGCCCCCTGATACACTTCGCCTACCCTGCCGATTGCCGCGTTTTACAGCTCCATCATTCTGCAGTCATCACAGGCAATAAGTTTCACGTTCCCCTGGAATCAGCTATCATCCGTGCAGGAGGGTGGTGTTCCAGGACTCTATTTCTTCATTTGCAGCGCAAGCGGCATGAACCTATCTCCATTAGTTCTTGGGGCTCCTATCTTCCTCATTACTTTCGTCTCTGGTGTCCTTAATTTCCGGTTCTTAGATATCTCCGCGAAGGATCGAATCCATGCACCGTGTGTCTTGACCCTTTTCGGTGTCAGTGCCGGGCTTCCTGACCTTTGACGTTTTTAGGTCTCTGATTTGCGACATTGGTTTAAGTAATACGAAATACTTTTCATTGCCCTCGCTATGTCCTCTTGTACCTTCACGAAGTCCTCTTTCGAGACCAGAATTCGCGAAGCCGTACCTCAGTCTTGGTGGGTGGCCCTCGCTGGGTTCATTCGGACGAGGTCCTTGGCCCTATTGCAAGATACTCGATGCTTACCGTGCAAACCTTCCGACAAATGCTGTCCCGCTCCTTGTGTGAACGTACCCTTAGGGTACTTACATATAGAGAGCCGAGCGACACTAAGCTAAGTAAGTCGGGGATTATCAGATGACAGAATTTGACTTCGACTTCGAAATGTATCACCCTATCTCGAGTCACTGCTCGCTGAACAAACAACATGCATTTCATCAGGGCTCTGACAGCCGAACCATTTTGCACATGGCCGCCAGGAGAGATTAGGAAGAGATAGAATCCATTCAGCACTTCCTATGAGAACGCCCCGTACCCCGGAAAGCGCGTCGAAAGTTTCTGGTGGAGCACTTCTTCAAGAGCTTAGGAACAACTTTTGCATCGCAATAGGCCTGATCGGTCGCCTAGTGATCACTTTTAATAGAGTTGCTCGTTTAACTAACCGCTTAGAGCTGTTCAATTTATTAATTTTAATCAAGAACCGATCATTACCAAATCGGTGCTTGAGTATTCTATCGTCACGGGGACATTTGCACAGCAAAAATGGATTTTCTTATTTAAATTTACAGCAATTCTATGTTTCGACAAAGCCACACCTAATGCACTAATTTATGTGTTAGGTATTACCAAATACCAAACAAATGCCAACTTAATTTTATTCGGGAATATACTGAGTTGTAATACAATATTTAGGAAAAACCGCAGAATCCATTTTTGGACTCCAGAAAATGTATTATACTGCGAAAGAAAGTATAGATACGAGCGTTATACATACCTAATGACAGTACGAATGGGGATTGCTTTAAATTTCCATTTTAAAGTTACCTGATGACAGTACGAATGCGAATTCCAGCGATTTATTTTGCGTGTTATTCTATTCGTTATAATAGTTTTAAAGTCAATTGAATTTAAGACTAAAAAAATGAAAATTAAATGATAGTTTAAAAAACTAAAAACTCGCTTTTATTACAATGTGAACTAAAATGTAAAAAATAATTTATAGAAACGCAGATTTCATTTAAGGGGAATATGAACTTCCCTAACTTGATTTAGTTAAACCCTTAAAACCAACCTAAAGTAGGATTCAACTAATTGACAATAAAATTAATTTTACCAGAAAACAAAGCATGGGGTGTTTGTTAGATTTTGAAGTCCTGCTATTGACAATATTCAATATTACTAAACTGAAAATTAAAAGTTCAAAACAATTGATATCATTCACCCCAACTTGTGTCTTCCGCTAAAATTTATTTAATTGCCAATCACTTTAATCCTATTTTAGGTAGGTTTTAAAAGATTAATTTAATGAAGTTAGGGAACTGCCTATTCCTCTTACACGAAATCTGTATTTCTATAAAATATTTTTCACTTTTTAGTTTAACGGTTTTAACGGTTATGGTGGAGATTTCGTATATATGACAGATTTACATCTTTTTTAATCTAGAAACTAAATCTTACTTTCCAAATCCAATAAAAACAATTACACAGGTTTACAAAAAAAGTGTATGCATATTAAACCAATGTTATTCGACACACTGAATGCGAATCCGAGATCCGTTATCCGCCATCACATCAGGTTCGTGGTCAGTTAAAAGTCAGGAAGGGGAAAATGCAAGACAATTCTTCTGAATTTGTCCTCTAGATGACCTTGAGGAATCAAGGGACCCCATATTCGGATTCAGCGACAACAAAAACCGAATATTTTATTTTTATTTTTTTATTTTTATTTTTTTTATTGAATAAATTTTTTTTTTTTCTATTTGACCCTCAAATTACCTCGCACCTGACATCATGGAGGCATTTCTTCTGCATGTATATACGTGTATGGCATTTGTATTAGTGTTAATTTTTAATTAACTTTTTCGCTTTCTTTTAAGCTAATTTTAATTTTGAAAAATTTTCTGCACTTCAACATCAAAACCCTTTCCTAGTGATGTGTAATTCTTTATACGTTAGAAGTATAGTTTAGCTGTAAAAGAAAAAATGTTTGTCTATTTAAATGCATATAAAAAGGTAGTACATATATGTATATACTTATGTATTTTTGTACTTATAAGTACATATATGTACGCATGCATATGGATGTACAAAGAAAAAAGACTTAAGGCCGCTTTCTCAAGTGGCTTTTAAATTCCATCTGCCATTTAAACGCAAATTTTGTTCTAAAACAAGTAAAGAAGTATAAGTTGGGGCGAAACCGAACTTTATATAGTATTTTTCCCAATTCCCAGTTTCAAAAATATGCTATGATATATTGAAATAATTGGACCAAATCTGGTGGAAATCGGTAAGGAGGTTATCAATCAATAATCTTGTGTCTTGTTAAAAGATTGTTGCAAGTTGGCATCTTTAGTTATTGAAAGATCGGGGTTTTCGTATTTCTGAAATTTAACGTTATATGGTAAGTGGCAGTAACTTTAGTCCGATTTAAGAAATTTTTAATATATTGCATTTTTTGTGCCGAGTTTGGTATAAATTGATAAACCGCGTACCGAGATACACATATGTATGTAGGCGTAAGTGGGCGGTGCCACGCCCATTTTCCAAAAATTTCCCTAAAAATCATTTTCCGCTAAGAGGTCATTGCGTACAGTGATTTAGAGTAAATTAGCTTAAATAGTTATCGTAGTTTTTGTATTTCTGTAAATTACCGTTATATGGGAGGTGGGCGTGGTTCTTGTCTGATTTCCAAAATGTTCAACCAGTTTCTTAGTGAGGTGCTAAGCAATGCTCTCACCGAGTTTGGTAGGGAATAGACTACAGAGATACAGCATTTAATCATGAGTGGACATTTTCTAAATATTTTATAACTGTCTTACTTTATGCCGAAATTCTACTC